ATTTCCTTAGAGTTTAACTCCCCTCCCCCGGACCCTCTCCAGAGGTGGGAGTAAAACATAAATTTTGGGGCAAAAAGTGTGCGAGAATCTTGCTCAGATGGATTTTTCATCTAAAATCAAAATATTTATGAAATTTAATGGCTTAATTTCTGCAGGAATTCAAACAAGAAAGAACATGAAGATCCTGGACTACCCCCCTCCCTCTTGCTTCTTGGCTTAGTTGGCTAAGAATTTTTCTCTGTATTAAATGATTCCTATAGTTTGAAATTCATTGAGCTTATAGAATGATATCAGTGCTCACTTGTTGTATTTTCCATCAATAAAAATGAAAAGATCTTAGAATTATGACTAAATATCATCAAAATCCATGTTACCAACAAGAATCACTGGACATTAAGTGATCAAAATATTGGTAATAATTTAAAATTCTGAAAACAAATGTTCGTTATCAGGCCCGTAAGACACTTTTCTCCAAGGGGGGTGCGGTTCCCACTACGAGAATATAAAATTGTCAATTTTTTGCAGCGTAAGTCAAATCGTGTAAGTCACAGGGGGGGGGGGGGGGGTCGGTTTGGAGAAACAATGGAATAGGGGGAGGGTGTGCTAGTAAGGTCATAAATGTTCACCCGAGAACTTTTACCAGTTCAAGATCACACTCAGAGATTTCTGGACACTTTCAAGTGTTTCAATCAATCAATACAATCATTTTCTTCTTAGGGGAGCGAGGGGACAGCACAGGAAAATTTAACTAATTCAAGATGCTGTCTGGTTAATTCTGAGCACTTTTAATGTGTTTGAGTAAATGGATGCTTTCGCTTTTGGGGTGGGGTGCGAGAAATGTTTATGATTTCATTATGTCACTTGGTGATTTCTGGGCACTTTTAAGTCTTTAAAATTAACAAATGCAACTTCCAAACTTTCCAATTGGTTTATGGGGGTGAAAGGAGTGGCCCACTCCACCTAGAAAATTTTACACTTTTTAATTTTTTTCGTTTTGACCCCCTGCTACCCCCTGGGGGTGGGGGCAAAAGATAATTTTAAGGGACAAAAAGTGACCGACAAACTTGCTCGGGTGGATTTTTTTATTTCAAACAATCAATATATTCATCAAATCATAATGGCTTAATTTCTTCATCGTTTTGAACAAAAAAACTAAGAGCCTAGACTAATTTATAATTTTTTTTTATTGAATACACTGTGTTACATGTTACATATAAATAGTGTGCAAGTCATTCATACAGATGGCGCCATATAACTGCAAATCATTTCCCCTGTTTTATAAATGGAATTCAATGCAATTGTTCTTCCATCGAAAGTGTATGTCGTTTTATGTGCTTATTTTTACCATATATTTGAATATCTCTGTCAACATTGTTGTTCTGTTCTGAATACGATACGTGTAATTTCATCATTTGAATATATAGAATGAAGCACACAGTGTTGTGTTCATTTCAACAACAACGCTATGGCATTACCAGAGACTCCATTCTTTGCATGATATTAAATTAATTTGCGTCTTTATTGAAATGGGCAGCAACGATTGGAGATGAGTTGGGCATTAATTTCTATTGAAAAATGTCACTTATTTCTCCCATCATTGATGGGATAAGTGACATGGGTCAAAGTTTTTATCAAAAACTTGTGTGGGGTACTATCATACCTATTTCATGGGCCTAACTCGTTGGACAGAATTTCAGAAATTTCATGATTTGTACGACATTCTGACCAACACACCATATTAAATTACGGGATGTCATCGACTAATTTGGATGAGACGGAGCAGGTCGTTTAACAAGAAATTTCAATACTTTCAAATAATTTATTTTTGACTTAAAAGCTGCTGATTCGCAGAGAAAATGAACCAGCACAAACAATGACAATGTCAATGGTACTTCTGCACGAAATTCGCCGAAAGTCCATTTCTGATCAGATACAAAGTTAATGCGAAATGTGCGAACGTCCTAAACTCGAAATGATCGGTTTTGCATAATAAGTTACCGTTTATCACGTTTCTTTCTTAATCAGAAACACAGCTTCCTTTATCTAATTTTTAGAAAATAATAAAAGATAATTATGAACAATGTTGCGGAGCAAAATGATTTTATCAGAATAATAAAAATATAAATGCAATATCACGATTTCGTTAAAGCCCCCAAATAAAGTCTGAACCACTTTGGCTAATAATGTAGTTCAACATATAGTGGGGTCAGTTAGCTGTTCAATTGCACTTGCTATATATAAAGCACCATTTTTTGACCAATATATCATTAATACATATAGTTTTGATATCTAACGAAGTGGTAATGAAAAGTGCCCCCATTTAATAATAGCAGCCCTTGAAAATTTTGCATTTTTACATTGAGCCCTATGTTAATTTATCAATCTTCTAAAGACCCCCTGCAGAACAGTTCTAGTATAATAAAGCCCATATTCCCAGTGTGTTATAATTATATGATTATCTTCAAAATAAGAAGGGTTAAATTTTTTCTTTTGCCTAGTTCCAAAGATATTGACCGTTGAATTTTGGAAAATTCCCATTGACTGCCATTATAAAGAGCTATTAACATGGCTTTAATAAAATGTCCTTTTCCCAAAAAGTTTACAAAAATTTTCAAGATGGCCGCTTAATTTCAAAATGGCGGCAATTTTTCGTAAAAAACGTAATCTTTGATAACTCAAATACCAGTGAACGGATTTGGTTCAAATTTTATATGATTATGCCTAGGGACACAGTAGCTCTGTTCAAGAAATAATTTTCAAGATGGCGGCTGAATTTCAAGATAGCGGACAATTTTCGTAAAAAACGTAATCTTTGATAACTCATATACCAGTGAACGGATTTGGTTCAAATTTTATATGATGATGCCTAGGGACACAGTTGCTATGTTCGACAAAGAATTCTCAAGATGGCCGCTTTATTTCAAAATGACGGCAATTTTTCGTTAAAAAACATAATCTTTGATAACTCAAATACCAGTGAACGGATTTGGTTCAAATTTTATATGATGATGGCTAGGGACACAGTTGCTTTGTTCAAAAATGAATTTTCAAGATGGCCACTGAATTTCAAAATGGTGGCCATTTATCGTAAAAAAACATAACATTTTGATAACTCTGATACCAGCGAACACAGTAGGGACACAGTAGCTCTGTTCGAGGAAGAATTTTCGAAATGGCAGCTGAATTTCAAAATGGTTGCCATTTTTCTTAATTCAAATTTTATATGCTGATACCTAGGGACACTATAGCTCTGTTCGAGAAAGATTTTCAAAATGACTGCAGAATTGGCCGCCATTTTTAGTAAAAAAGAATGTAATCTTTGATAACTCAAATTTTAATTTATGGATATGGTTTACATTTTATATGTTGATGCTTAGGGACAAACAAGCTCTGCTCAAGAAGGAATTTTCAAGATGGCCACTAATAATCTAAATACGTTTATTTCGGTGGGATTTGCTACTCCGTGGAGTTGCTGTTTTTCTAGTTACTCTAGAACTGTTCTGCAGGGGGTCTGTAGAAGATTGATAAATTAACATGGGGCTCAATGTAAATGTGCAAAATCTTCGAGGGCTGCTATCATTAATTGGGGCCACTTTTCAATACCACTTCGTTAGATATAAATATATATGTATCAATGATACTTCTGTCAAACAATTGTGCTTTAATTATATATAGCAAGTGCAATTCTAGGGTTTTATTGTCCTAACTGATCCCACTAATAAACATGCTTTGAAATAGTATGTTCTGATACACGGTGTTATAGCATGACGGTTACGCCATTGAAAACGAGGTTGGACAGCTACGTTCACTGATTTATCCAATAAAATGGCCGCAATGGAAGAGAAAACTAAGGTTGGTGCATTATTTTCTACTACTGTGTATCAATGAAAGGACGGACAATTTATGTAAGCATCGCATTCGGTGATACATTCAGTAATGTATATTTTGAACGTAGTCTTTGCAAATTGATGCCCGGGGATAACATGAAATAAGAGAAAAACTGTCGAGTTTGAAATTGCCTACACAAAAATTTAGTAATTTGTTTATTTTTGTTGTTAGGGCATGGTCTACATTGCCTAAAAACCTTGTGGTATATAGAGGTAACCTACATACGCTCATACAAAGCCAATTGAGCATTGGAAACCACCTAATATGTTCTACTCAAGCCATAATAATGTATTTTGAATTTGCGGTAACGTAAAAAACTGATGTACGGTTACGCGAACCTGATTCAAATATGAAACCCCGATTCATTGTTTTTAATTTTGTCATCTTCATCAGTACTTGATCCTAAATCTTCTTTTGCCTCTTCATTGCTATCTTTTACACTTTCATCGGTTTCATAAATAAAGCAAACGACAGTTTTTTCCTTGCCTTATAGAGGCTGAAACAAGAGCGTCTCTTGCGAGTCCTGAAAACGAATATAGGAAATTCAACATTCTATTTCTTACCCATTATAACAATAACATGGATAGAGGCTATCAGATCTAGCAACCTTGACTTGACAGATGTACATGCACGTAACCGTCCGCTAAATATCTTATGTACAACTAATACAATACGTTATCCGTTATCGTCCATAGAATTCGATAGAAGTCATACGTAGTCGTCTAACGAAATTGCATTTGAAACCTTATTATTTACGATATACACCACGTTTCTGTTCTGGATTTGTCATTTTATGCTTCGTGTATACACAGTTTACTTACAGCTAATATTTTGAGTGGCTCTGAGGCACATGTACTGAGAAAACACGAGAATGGACCTAAAATTATAAACTTGGATATCTCGGTCGGTAGGTTTACAGCTTATATTCTGTTCCTTGTAGACCACCTGGCAGATTTGACCCAGTCGTTATAACCATCCATATATACTTCACCGAATTGAACTAGTTTAAAAGGAAATCTTATCTGTGAATATTGCCTACAGGCGAGAAAGAGTACATGCTGCCTTTCCCATCTGCCATTTTTTGTTATCGTTACGGCAAAAATTTTCAAATCGCCTTGACGTAACCGTCATGCTATCACACCGTGTGATAGCTCATGAGATGTTTCATGATATTCTTTACATTTTTGACATTTCAGTACTTCTTGTTTTGGACATCATCGTTGCGCCTGTAGCTGCACTTGTCATTATAGAACCATCTTTTTGTTTTTTACCACATAACATCTCTACTAAATGCTTTCTAAATCCTGCCCTCGCCACGCAATATATGAAAAAGTTGACAGCTGAATTGCCGATTCTCGTAATAACTTTGAACTCCGATATTTTTACGTATACATAAAAATTGATCATATCTTTTTCGAAAGTTTTTATTACTAATATTATTGAGTTCATAAATGAGGGTATCATACATATAAGAAAGATAACAGCCACGCTTATTAGAGTAACGCTGACGTTAGTATCAGCCTTAGCTGATGTAGCCTCGTCTCCAGACATCGAGGCTCTCATTTTAGCAGCCTTATTAAGGGCACGCACTAAAAGAACATTGAGAACCAACAATATGATTACTGGAGCAACTGGCTGACATATTGAATAGATAAAAACTCGGTAGCCGATCATATATGCTTTATCATTACGGAGATTTGTAAGTGCAAGTGTATAGAATTCTTCATGAGTGCAAGGATGCCCCCCGAACGGTCCCCAATCTTTCGTCTCATATTCCAAAAATTTGGGTATATGAATAGCAAAAGAAAGGATAGAAACAACAACTAACGTAATTCGGGCGCGTCCTAACGTACTTAAGGTCGGAGCTTTAAAAGGATGACATACGGCTATATAACGATCAACTGAGATAGCCACCAATACCCATGAACTAAGTGTGGTGAAAATCACAAAGAGATACTGGGAAATAGGTTGAATCAACACAATATGGTGACTGGCATCAATTGATTTATCTAAAAGGTGGGTGTGGTTGTACAAAAAGAATGGGAAATTGAATACGATAAAAGTGGCACATGCTAACCAATCCACAATGGCTAATGCCTTTAAATAAAACATACTTGTCCCCTTTGCAGGGTCCTTGTATAACACTACAAATGACAAGGTGTTGCCGAGAATACCAATTACAGCAAGTACAGCACCAACGATATAACAAGCTATTCTAAAATGTGCTAAATGGAATGGGTCTCCATCGGCATCGCTGTGCGGGGGCAAACAATAATATGGTATTTTCTTAATTGGCGCATGGGTAGTTGCATTACCACTAGCATTAGCATTTTCTGTAATATTATACATATGGGTAACAAACGATACATTATTTTGTCCCTGGGTTGTTATATTGACTCCAGCATTTGTTGTATCATCACTTATGTACGTTGATGGCATCGTAACATTTTGATCATCCCTTTCTAGTGTAGCACCGCTTAAGTTGGACATTTCACTGTCGGTTATATTCAGCTGGAAAATGGTCACGCCTGGTGCTGTGAGGACCCATCCAGACACCAGGAGGAGCAAGAGAGTGCCGGACAACATACCTGAAGATGAAAAACGTTAGTTGATTGTTAGGTTTACCATCATAAAACATGTATTTTGATACATACGTATGAAATCCGTTCATTTGCAATTTTCTTGGGTGATTTACATCTTTAAAAAATCACAACTGCACACATTTGACATATTGATTTACAATACAGTTGCTCTAACTTCACTTGTACATATTAAACCAACCTTGAAAGTAAAAGTTGCACAGTTGAGTGAAACGATAAGTCGCCCAGTCAATATATTGAGCATAATTATCAAAAATTGCAGAACTCAGAGAACCCAACGATATCAATTTGTTTCACGATTAAAGAAAGTACAGAATGATCTATCAAATAGAAATATTAGTTGTAGTATTACCGAGTAACCTCGCTAATTTCAATTTCAGTTTTAGATTTTGAACTCATATCATTCCTTGTCATGTATATTTCTAAAAATCCTCAAAGTGTATATTACTTTATTTAAGGAAAACGACAGATTTTACAATGGTACTTTCATTTGTTCTTAAAATATGATAACCATATTTATTATTTGGGAGAATTGAACCATTCCCCATATTTTGGACTTTTGAACTTTGAACTTTTTGAACCCACTACCCCAATTGAAAACATATGTTTGATCTTTTAAAAGATATAGTATTTGACATTGGAAGAAATATATTGGTAGGTCAACTGTACATGTTACTTGCAATTTTTACCTAACCTAATTATCGATATCGATACCGTGTTCAACTTTTTCTTGCAGAGCGCCTGTAAATGTTTGCAATATCTGATAAAACATTATTTGCATACCCCGGCTCCAACACATATTTTTCCTTTTATCTTCGTAATATTGGTATTACTTCGACAATCGAGTGGTTTTGCACGACTCAAGTTTCTCCAGCTACAGCGTGTCGTCCTACTGTCCTACTACAGTACCTCTAAGCCGTCCTACTGTCCTGCTACAGCGCCTCTGTGTCGTCCTACTATACTATTTATATCGTTCAGCTGTTACATTTGTGATGTTCTGTTGTTATATCTGTGGCTTAATTAATGTCTTTATTTCTTGCTGTTGTTTTTGAGTCGTTCTGCTTCGTTGCCCTTCTTCCTTCCAACGTCAAACAGCCGACATTATTAGGATATTGGGAATGACAAACCTGAAAAAGGTTGAAATTCTAAATTAGATGGAACATTATATCTGTATTTTTTAAAAACTAAACCTTACTACAAAAATAAAGTAGTTCATTAGCATACAGGGTGACCCCAAAAATCAGAACCCTATAAAAATGTAATTATTTCTTGAATGCCTATTCTATCCATGTATCAACCCACTTTTTATGTGCATAAACTAGAATCTAAGAAAATGAAGAATAAGCAATGGTAAAACACCTAATAAAAACCAGATGAGTGGAATTCTTGGCTGCTTAGCAAGAACACCTCAAACGCTGTACAAAATGCTGTCGGACGAATTCTCAAATAATGAGTTGGGAGAGGAAGATTTTTAAACACCTGAATGGAAAAATGATCAGCTTTCCTAACACCTGAAAGCACTGTGTGAGATTGCATTAAACGTAGTTAAGAAAACAGCACTCATAAGGTGCTGCCATAATGCACCATTCAAAGGTTTGCGTGAGACCCCCCCCCCCCACGCGGGCATGGATGGGGAATTTGACAAAAAAATTTGGCCTGTCTAATTCCTTACCCCGGGGCCAAATAAATGTGTCAATTTCTCTACCCTTGGAGCAATAAATCTGGTCAAATATTCGCGACCCCGGGGTCCTTCCACCATTTGAAATCTATTTTTAAACATCAGCTTTTCTTGTTAGTAGACTGATGCTCGTAAATGTTGAGGGATACACGTGTAGTACTTTGTTTATGTCAATATTTAAATTAGAGACACCATATATGGTCAAACGATTTTTCGCGGAAAGTCCACTACACATGCTACTATTAATTTATGAATGAAATGTTTGCTTACGATTTACATATAACCAATAGAAAAGCAGCTTTTTAAATGACGCAATCACCCACGAAATTAAAAGCCAATGACAATACAGTCCATTATATGACGACGTTTTCGCAAATTGCCTGAAAGTCGAGAAGGACATGGTGGTTTTACTCTTGGTTTCTATCTGTTCAACAAAAGTGGAGAACATACCTGTATGAATGATCATTATTGTCGAATGGGCGGGCGGATTGTTGCGCTTGACGGGTACAAATCGGGAACAAATCCACATCGTAGTAATTTTCGAAAGGTCTCTTGTAATTTATACAATGACGTATTTTAAGATATTGGCTTTTTACTTTAATAGGTGACCTCCCTCCGTTTTATTCATCTATATCAAATTAATTAAATTAAAATTCGTTCGAACGATACTTTTTTTCAAAAATTAATTTCAAATTAAATTAATCATCTATATTAAATCAATTAAATTATGACGAGCTTATGAATGTAAGTAGAACGCGGAAGTGTATTCTTCCGAAAGGAGGGCGAAAACAAGCTTGACAAACCAATAATTACTGCTCAGTATTCTAGAATTCCTCTCTCCAGCGGTTATTCTCGGCGATTCCATCCCTGAAACTTTACCCAACGTGTAGATGAGTTATTTTCTTATGTTCCCGATATGAGAGATCATTAGTTCACTAAATATACCGATCATTTGCAAATTCCGAGAATCCTAAAGTGTATACTGGACGAAACAGATTCAGTCAAAAATCCCCATTCCCGGGCACATGTAAATCAAATTCCCCACCCCCGGGACGACAATCTTCGACAAATTCCTACCCCTGGGGGCAATATTGTGGATCAAATTCCTTACCCTTCCCGCGTGGGTGGGGGGGGGGGGGTTCACGCAAACTTTTGAATGGTGCATAACTAAAGGTTGCTGGGACACATCCTCATTAATGATTTCAACCTCTAAACAGCTTTTGAAAATCTTACATTTTCTTTTCTGTCAAAAGTGGGAACAATTTTAATTGACCATAACAAGGACAATATTGAATCTTATTTAAAAAAATTAGTTTCACATTGCCATCCATAGATTGTAGTTTCTGTACATTAAAAATGAAGCTGAATACATATTCAAGAAGTTATTTCATTTTTGGAGGGTTCTGTTTTTTTGGGTTACCCTGTAGTCTGTGATATCCAGATTAATAATTGCGTGAGCAAATCAGACATTCAGACGTTGAACACCCCACTGTTTTACCAGAATTAGTTTGATGACCTTTCCAGTAGCCTGAACATGAAGAATCCATAACACAATATTGCGCAGCAACATTTGAACATATTAATGCTGAAAAGACTTCGAGCTTTTTGGGTCGAAATATGTCTCTCATTACAAGGGGTCAAAAACGTTAACATTCTCATTCGAATTTTTCCACATTTTATAAGACCCAAGACGTTAATCTAAGCATATTGACAATGCATTGTTGAATTATCATTTATAAAAATAAATCATAATTTCAACGTAATTTTCAGGTTTATTAGTGTAATTACATAAATGTGCTTATTATTTTTTGTTTCATTTTTCAAATATTTGTCAAGCAGATCTAGATTCCACAAAATTGTGTTAATTATTTAAAAAATCATAATTTCAAACATATAGTTTTTACTATTTGAAAGTTCTATTTCAAGAATTCATTCCTATAATCGCCAGGAGTCAAACAAGAAATAATTGCCAATATTTTATAAATCATATAACAATGATAATAGAGAGATTTCGCACATACGTGAAAGTACAACTTATAACGTATATACTTATAAGTAAACGTACAAGGTGTTTCATAATGAGGGCTTTTCGTCAGGAATAATCTTCTCGGACTGTAATAAATAAAGGTCAAAGGGATGCCATTTGTACTTTCTTGAATTGTAGCATGTTTAGTTGATCCAAATGTGTTAGTCAAGAATAAAATAGGCTCATATACGAGTATTGTACATATGTTATAGACCCATCTCTTCTCAAATTGACTTTTTGGAGATGCTCGTTATGAAACACCCTGTATGTCATTTGTTGAGCTACTGAATGGGTCGTTTCCAGGAATTGCTAGAACCTACTGGTTTGATTGGTGTTTCAAATTGATGGTTAAAGTATTTGATTGGATACTGTTCCTACTCAGCCAATTAATTTTAAAAATGCTTGCGGTCATTTGTTCCACACACATCATGTGGGTAAAGCTTTATACGGAGATCCAACTGCACTGGGGGATATCGTGATGCAACAACACCGTGTTGTTGCATCAAGATGGCCAGACTTCCGGTGATAGATTTTCGTACGATGTTTTGTTTTCCCAATTTACACCCATTTCTAAGACGAGTTGCTCAATAATAATACACATGCAGTTAGCGCATGATCTATATTTTAAAAAACTGTCATTGGTATACATGTAGCATCATCAAGAAGCGATAAATTCGTGGTTTTAATTCCTCACTATTGATGCAACAACACCACTCTGTTTCTTATCGATGATGCAACAACACCAATGTGCTGATGCAAAAACGCCAATATAATGTATCATTGAACAACAAGAGAAACTGTTTTATGTTCTGTTTACAGGTGTAGGTCGAAACATGAATAAAACGCGTGAGTCAGTGGTCCATGAACGAAACGTATTTTGTTTGGTTTCTTTGTCTATATCAAAGTTAAAAGGATATACAAGGCAAACTAAATAAAGTACAGAATCCCCGGGAGGCAATCTCATTGATATTGTATCTGAAAAATAAAGATTAAACATCTTCTAAATTAAATGCCCTTGATGTACCGTATGGAAATTGCTTACAAATAACTAATATAATTTTGGAAAGACAACAGATATCAGTCATTTTGTGTTGTTAGTACCTCAATTGAAATACTCAATTCTGATTGGTTGATGAGCGGGCAACAAAATGTATTGTTAGTACCTCAACTGAAATACTCGATTCTGATTGGGTGATTAGCAGTCAAAATTATGTACTGTTGACCGCTACTAGGTACTGTTGACTACTTCTGAAAAAAAGTTTCATGACGTCACAAAAAAACATGGAAGACGGACATTTTGTAAACGTTGATGAAAATGACTTTACTAAGCGACAAGAATAGCAAAAATACAAATAGAAACGTGAAATTAACATTAATTCACTAACGAGTACGCCGTGATGTGCCAAATACAGAGTTAAACTACTTGCACTGTCTCCATATTTTCTAAAAAAAATATTGCTAGCGTGGGTCGGAGAAAAGGTTGTGAAATGAAGCCATGCCGATTGATAATTGTCGTCTATATGTGTATTATTAGTTTACTCGGACTAACAAAACAATTGTAGACCTCTCCATTCGATCAACCGTCAAAATCATATACCTCGACTGTAAACCTTGAAACTACTGTTGACCTCGACCTTTGGTCTCTGTCAGCAGTAGTTTTTCGGTTTACAGTCTCGGTATACAATTTTGCCGGTTGGCCTCTGGGGAGTTCAACAATTGTAAACTGTTGACCACTACTAGGTACTGTTGACCCCTATTTTTGAAAAATTGTTTTTTTAATGTTGAAATTTTTTAATTTTGAAAAAATAAGTTGTGTAAAAAATTACAAGTATTCGACGGTTTGGGGATTTTTTGCTAAAATATGATACCTTTACTTATCAAATATGTTCACCTGATATTCGACTATATATTCGTCCAATTATTATATTATTTGGACTAACAGAACAATTGTTAACCTCTCTTTTCAGTTTCGGTCATCTGGCAAAAGTGTCCTCGACCTCTGGTCTTGATCAACAGTACTTTCAAGGTTTACAGTATCGGTATACAATTTTGCCAGTTGACCTTAAGAGAGGTCTACAATTGTATATTATAACCTTCAAATTATTACTTCGGACTAACAAACAATTGTTAACCTCTCTATTCGGTCAACTGGCCAAAGTGTATACCTCAACAGTAAACCCTGAGAGTACTGTTGACCTCGACCTCCGAACTTTCAAGGATTACAGTATCGGTATACAATTTTGCCAGTTGACCTGAGGTCTACAATTGTATATTGTATATCCTTTGTTATCCAACCCAAAGTATGATGTCATATATCAAGTTGAAGAGTTGTATACGCTGCTCAGGAGTTTACGCTATCCAGGAGTTGTACATCGTTCCCAAGAGTTGTATAGGATGAGTGTTGGTTTAATGATATTGCAGTT